TACATATATATATGTGTATATATATATATATATATATATATATATATATATATATATATATATATGAACACCATTTTATGATTTTATGTTAAAAATAATGTTTAAATGTTATATTTTTAATGATTAACAGCCTGAATGACTAATTTTCATTCATTTTCTTTTTTCGGCTTAGTCCCTTTATTAATCTGGGGTCGCCACAGCGGAATGAACCGCCAACTTATCCAGCACGTTTTTATGCAGAGGATGCCCTTCCAGCCGCAACCCATCTCTGGGAAACTGAATGACTAAAATATACTGGGATAATCTGTTATTCCATTAAACAGCTACTTGGTTTTTTCAAAGCAGGCCGATAGCCAGCCTGTTATAAGGGGTCTTTTTCTCAAAATGTGGACCTTTATGCAGTTATTCACCTCATTTACAATGTATGAGATTTAAAAACTGTATTTTAGTGACATTTTAAGCACTGTTTTAGCTGGATTAGCCTGTTAGGTCGTCATCATAATGACACATTTAATATACCAAAATATTTTCTAAAGATTTAGAATAAAGAAAAATGAATAAATACTTATTTTTAAAATACAAATGTCTTAGATCATAAATCGTTAGAAAAAATACTAATCTGTTGAAGTTTTAAATTAAAAACTGTAGCCTATTGTAGCTTTAGACTACAAACTGGCCAGAACATTCAACTGTCCTCAGTCAGAATTTGGCTATTTAAAAAATAAAAAAAATAAAACATAATAATAATAAAAGAGCTTCACAATTTTTTCTAGCCTCTCTTGTAAAAAAAAAAAAACATTTGATTTGATTGAAAATTTATGAAAAAAACATATTTATGAACAAAAATAGTCAAATAAGTTTTCAAATTAATTTTAATATAGCATTTTGCTTGGTCTTAAAGCCTTTTTCAAAGTAATAATTTCACTATTTATGATGACAGTCAAAATAAGGCAAATGAGCTCATGTATGGGACAAATTCTAGATCTTTGTCAGTGAGGGTGAGTTTTTCCAACCACCCGAACCCCTCTGGCTATGGGCCTGCATCAATGACTGTAAAAAATATGGACGACGCGACAGCCCCTTTTCCCATTGAACGCCTTGAGGGCAAAACGCCTGCTTTAAATGCTCACTGATGTAAATAGAAGCACTTACATTAAAAAAACACAATAATATACGGTTTAAAAACGGTGTGATGTAAGCTGTTAAACTTTAATAAAAGCAATACATGGTGGACTGCAGAAATAAACGATCTTTTATACACTCTAGCCTGAATATGAGCACAAATAATATATTCTCTTATTGTTATATTTGTTGTTGGTATTTGTTATCTTCATAGGGGTAGAAATAACACTTGTAAAATATGAACAATAACATATAAACAACACATACATTTTTAGAAAGGTTTTTATTTTTAATTAGCCATCAACAGAACCCAAAATATAGCCTACACACCATAACGATTTACCATGCGGGAACAATCGTGCGTTTAGAAGATAAATACAGCAAGATTACTAAATATCAACAGGATATTTACACATCCCAACCCTGCAATTTGTCAATTTGTGCAAAAAAACTTTGCACTATTAATACAACGTCTATCTGCTGCAACATCACTAGTATATTGTTTATTCATTTTCGCTTGAATTGTTTATTTATTTAATTTTTTTGCCTCCGTTTTCATTTGGTTTATTCGATGCCTTCATTATATCTGGCAACAAGGAATTTACATTCATTTTAATGTTAGCTGGAGTGTTCAAATAAAACGCCAACAGTAAATGATGTAAATAAATAATATCTAACATTTACAGCTCTATTAGGTTATATAAGATTCAATTTCAAGAACCTTATAATGATTTATAACAGCAAATTCAGTAGATTACTTAATAACATGCCAAAACTTAAAATGCAGAGACGTCCTATAAAGCAAGTTCAAATAACCTTACAGGAGATCAACGTGGAGATTATTATTTAGACACAAAGAGAATTACTGCTAACGATCTCCTGTATTTTCCCCGTACTTAAATGGGTTTTATTTTATTGTGCAGTTTTATTGTCGTTTTCGTATTTCTTAATTCTTGTGCACTACAAAATGTATTCAGTTGTATTATTATTTAATACTTGTGCAATCGATACAGGTTTATTGTTATTTATTTTGTCCTTTATTTAAATAATTGCTATGTATGCTGTTTGCATCTTTATTCAAAGGTTAAACTCAGTGATACACTTTGCGTTCACATAGTAGCATGCGTTTGTTGTTATATCAACAAAAATGGTTGTAATAACGTTAACAAATGTGAAGGTTTTATATAATGAAGATTCAATCGCGCCAGCTCCGGGCAGCAGAGCGCACATAACCTACTCGCGGCGTCGCGGGCTGATTCCGGCTCGCATGCGGCAGCGCCTGCTCGCTCGGCCGCCGCATCTGGCTCAATTGACTCAGGCTAGAATCGGGCAGTGAGTCCAGGCATCCGGAGTAGGTCCAGCAGAGGTAGTCAGTCTGAGGGGTAAGTCTCCGGCAGGCAAGAACTGGCCCCAGTGTATTTTGCTATCTGGGTGGCTAGGCGTGTATTAGCAAACTAATAAAGCCCGACAAAAGCTCTGACCTTAGCGAATAAACAGTGTTCCACCAGATTATGTATGTCAGAAACTGTAGTTTACTGCTGAACTCATTTTGTCATAGTAAAATATCACAGAAATCGAGTAATAACACTTCAGTCTTCTGCCGAAGCTCAGACGCCGCGCTTGAGAAAACTGTCAATCACAGCTGTCAATCACGATGAAAGGCCCAGCATTAAATTACTACTAAAAACAAACTGTTTACAAAAATGAGGATCTGCACCTATTTCAGCACAATAATCAGTGCCTTAATCGACCAGAACCATCTTTCGGGACATTTTATTGCAAGTGTAATTAATTTTTTTATTTGGGCTCAAGTATCCTTCATTAACACGGAGGAGGCGGGCTTTATGACTTGTACTGCAGCCAGCCCCCGGGGGCGATCTAACGGCCGAGACCTTCCCTCAAACGCAGGCTTGCGGCACACTTGGCCTGCATAGTTACCATGAATAGGATTCAAATTGGGATAATTTTGACAATTACTACTTTTTTCAGGTTGGAGCTGGAATTCATGTATATGCTGTGAGGTCAGTTCAATGTACAGCGTGCATCGCATTGTCAGACTATTGTTGTTGACACTTTGGAGTGAAAACAGACTGAACTTGAGGCCGGGTGACCTGGTCCGATAAAATCACTACACAGACAGCATGATCGTCCTTCTCGGAACCGCAAATGGCCATGGCACGACCAGTAAAACTCGCACATCTCCCTCGTCAGCCACTATTCAAAACACAGGCGCGCGCTGACAAAAAGCGGGAGATGCGTCTCTATAGCAACCTCTCTCGACACAACCTCTCCAATGCGGCGCTTTGCGATATTTGCAAACAAAACATATGGATCATTTTTATTATAATTTGACAGTAACGGAGGAACGCCGCGAAATTTAGCGAAGTAAGAGTACTGATTTTTCTCTAATAATTTACTTGAGTAAGAGTAAAAGTACACATATTTAAATTTACTCAAAAAGTACACGTTACCCAATAATTTTAGTCAAGTAAATGTAACAAAGTAAATGTAACTCGTTACTACCCACCTCTGAAAATTAGAGCCTGCTTAGGCCTATTCGTGCTAGTCTGTTAGACAAATTTGGTTAAAACAGGCGTGGATAAAACAGAGATATGCGCATAACAAGGTTTTATGCGTCCCGCAATATGGGATTTCAAGAGAGTGAAAGAATAAGTAAGGTAAACTTCAAAAACTTGTAGATGTAATGCGTGGACATGTCTCTCAGCGCAAAGCATAACTAAACCTTTACATGTCCACGCTTAGTCAACGATCAGGTCTATCGATAAAAGTGTTATCGACAATCAATAGATCAAGTAATCATTAGCATCCTTAAATAAAATACATTAAAGTATATTTCACCCTAAATTCACCATACTCACCATTAAAAGGAGAGTTTATCCAAAACTGAAAATTCTGTGACCATTAACTCACGTTGTTCCAAACCGTTTTTTTTTTTTTTTTTTTTTTTCTGATGTTGAACATGTGGCAATTAGGATGTAAATCCATACCACCTGGAGGAAAATGATTACAGGTTAAAAAGAAAAGAGCGGAAGAGGAAGTAAGAAGAACGGTACGAGGATAGCACTGAAATCAGTGGTCGAATGAGTTGGCTCTGGAAGTGTCGAGAAGTGTAAGCGCCAAAAAGCGAAGTTGCAAAAGTCTACCGGTGGTGATCGGATCCAGTGAAGAGTGCAGTTAAAGCGTTTTGGAGAGACATTTTGGCTGAGATGGTGGATTTAGCTGTCGCCGTCGCCCGAGATCATGTGCGGTGTCCACAACAAAGGGAGCTGAGTGACGTCGCTCTACATAGACGCGGGCTGTAGGTGATTTTCCTCTAGTTCACCGGTTTCAGGTACTTTACACTTCGACAACAAACAAGGAAAACAAAACGTTAGCATACCAGCATCGTTGATGGGTTGACTGCCAAAGCGATGGGTTTCAGCTGTTGACATTATCCATACCACTCCTACGCTTTGAATGAACTGTTAGTGCGCACATACATTCCTTGCATAGAGGCCGCTGGACACCCAGACACACCCACACATACACATACACACACACACATACACTATCACACGCACACACATACATTGAACGAACTGTTTAACATTCAGATTCCAGCTGATGCTTCCAGTAACGTTATGTTGGTTAATTGAGAAAAAACTGGACTCTGATGCGACTGAACTATGTTTCCGTGAATTAATTTTATATGTGGTTTACCTTTGAATGGCCAGAGAACCAATGATTGTGAGGGGTGTAATTTCCATGGGGTTTGTTCTTGTATATGGATGAAATGCTCACTGCTGTCTTTCACTTAGTAAATACTGATTATGGTTGTGATTGCAGTGGATAAATTCTTCTGTGAGTGTGGTATAAATTCATCATGATGTTTTCATAAAGCTGTTTATTTTCAATTGTGCTTTTGAGCGATCTATTGGTAGTGATATTTCAGTGATAGAAAAATAAATATTTCTATGCATACTCAATTGGTGAATTTGTGTAAAATTTTTGTGTATTTTTGTGTGTTATGTTTAGTATAGTTTGTAGTCGGTGGCTTATTGCTATCTGGGTTAAAGTTAAATTTGTAATATATTGACGGATTTATTCTGTCTGGCACCCGAACAAAAAGCTAAATATTACCTACTTGGGGTTTAAGAAAGGGCCACCGTTACAGAGTAAATAGTTATTGGATATATATATAACTATATATATATATATAATATCCAATAACTTGTAGGTAATGTCTTTGGTTGTCGAAAACTTGAACAGTAAATGCTGAATTAAGATTGTTCTTTTGTTTATTATTTTATTATTTATATTGTCAGAGAGCTAAAACATTTCACTAAATGCGTTAAATCAGTTGCACAAAGCCATTGGCATGCTGAAAATCTCTCTCTCTCTCTCTCTCTCTCTCTCTCTCTCTCTCTCTCTCTATATATATATATATATATATATATATATATATATATATATATATATATATATATATATATATATATATATATATATATATATATATGGGGGGAGGCAGTGACTGTGTCGGCACCCAGGGAACAGGGCAAGCTGGCCTACTCTAGCAGGAGTCTGGGAAAGGGGATTTGGACAGTGAAGACTCCTGTTAGAGGGTGACGGGATGAGTTAGGTGCTCGAGGAACACTCCATTAGGAGATGGAGCGGGGGAGTGACAGCGCTATTATAGATATATATCTATGTACAGGTGTATATATATATATATATATATATATATATATATAAATAAAGATTGCTAAGGCCTGGAAGGGACGGTGAGACGACCCCTGCGGGGGTCGTAGCTCGGGGTAACACTTCTGCGGAAGTCAGAGCTTTAGGGGGGGCGGGGTCCGGCATGAGTCGGGAAATGGGAGGGGGCTGTGAAGACTCCAGCAGA